TGCTCACCTTTACTACATTCTTCACCACCCCCTACGTCGTGAACCTGTTTCCCTTTCTTCCCATAGCATTTTAGGACTGAAGATACATTAATCTAATCTTCAATGTTTCCAGTTCCCACACTCCACACTGCTCACCCTACTACTTCCTTCATCTCTTCTTACGTCTCGGACCTGTTTCCCTCCCTTCCCATAGCATTTTAGGATTGCATATCCCTTAATCTAATCGTCATAAACAGTTCCCACACTCCGGACAGCTCACCTTGACTACTTCCTTCACCACTTCCTACGTCGCGGACCTGTTTCATTCCCTTACCTTAGAATTTTAGGAATGCGGATACCTAAATCTAATCGTCATAAACAGTTTCCACACTCCAGACTGCTCATCTTTACTACTTTCTTCACCACTTCTTACGTCACCGACCTCAAGCTAGTGTCGTCATTTGATTATATTTATTATTCATACCGTTTCTGTTCTAATATCTGTGGAATAATTCTATCAGACATTTTTTAATCTACTGCGTTCAAAAGTCAACAGCTCATATGTCTTTGTTTATGTGTCAAATACTGCTTCCATAAGGATTACATTGAAACTTTGAGACCCAGTGGGGCGGATTCCTGAGAGACTTTTTTAACGCCAAATAGATGTTGGCACTCACCGATATGGTCTTTATCACCATACAAAATTTGAAAACGATCGATTCAGCCGTGTAGGAGGAGTTTGCGTATTACGAAATGCATAAGAGTCGACGTATAAGAGCTTCGCTCGCTCCGCTCAATAAAAATTTTTATTTTAAATTAGACAAGGCCACACTTTATAGCCCAGTCACTTTAGGTAAGAACCTGAACATGAAAGATGTAAAGCTGATTTTTTGCATGGTGATAGTATATAATAGGAAGGGTGTTTTCTGAAAGTTCCCCAAATTTCCCCCCCTTGCTTCCCCTGAAACCCCCCTCCCCCCAACCACCAGGTTCAAAGTGTAGTGTTTTACTAAATTGCCTATATATTTTGATGTAAACGAGCTATCAGCATAATAGTTTTTTCTTTGAACTCCCCGTTAAATTTACTTTAATAAAACGACCTTACATGTAGCATTATCTCTATTGGGATTTTGTTAATTAATGGGTTATTGGAAAGCCTAATTCATGTTCATTATATATCTACAACTTCAAGTAAAATATTTATTTTGTATCACATATAAAACCCCACCCAATAGAGATAATGCTACATGTAAGGTTATTTTATTAAAGTAAATTTAACGGGGGTTCAAAGAAAAAACAGTTATGCTGATAGCTCGTTTACATCAAAAGATATAGGTGATTTAGTAAAACACTGCACTTTGAACCTGGTGTTTGGGGGGAGGGGGGTTTAAGGGGAAGCAAGGGGGGGAGGAAATTCGGGGAACTTTCAGAAAACACCCTTCCTATCATACGCTATCACCATGCAAATAATCAGCTTTACATCTTTCATGTCTTTGTTGGCCTTTTACTTAAGTTACCTACTGGGCTATTATAGTAATACCAGAAACAAAAGAACCCTGGGCCGTTTCGAGCCGCGCAGGTTTGAAGGGTTAAGCCACACCTACCGGCGCGAACCACGTGATCTTTTCGTTTCTGCGCAGGTTGTTTTGTTCGTGGTATGTCTATAGCTGTGCTCTGGCAGTGGCTATTCGCACGTCAGACGAGAGCCGCTACCGCGCACGTCTGTTCCAAATGACGTCTCATTACGCTCCTAATCCATTTACTTTTATAACTGTCTGGGAACAAGTTGCACACAAAGAAAACCCAGTATTAGGAACGGTAGTGCCTCTAACCTCATTAGCCTAATGGATGGAATCAACTACAACTTCAAGTTTTTCTGCCCGTAATATTGATTATGAAATGAAACTGTCCTTAACTAACCTAACCAAACCAAACTTGCTGTAACATTTCAAAATTCCGCTTTGATAGCAGACATGGCCTTTTACGCTCCATCTACTGTTAAGTAGTAGAACGTCCTATCCTTAACTGAATATACAGACAGAAGCTCGCCTTTTTTTTAAATAAATTCTTTTAAACGCTTCGAAATAGCAAACAATTTAATTAACCTCAATCTTCACTGAAATTTAATGTAATTCAAATTGAAAATGACTTCTAGAAAAAAGTAACTGTTCCCTTTACATTATTTTGCAATACTGGAACTGGGACTGGAACGGGAATGGGTTGTGACGTCGTTTTGACATGCGAACAGTCACTTCGTTTAAATTACTTGCAGGATGATATAATAGATCGTTTTTTACGAAAAACTACTGAAAAATGAGTGATCTGTATACTTCCCTGATGTAGTAGGTAAAAGGAGCTTTAAAATGACACCTCATTTATTAAAATTGGTTAAGAATTAAGGAAGTTATGGTGTACCGGCAAAAAAAGTACTTTGGAACTTTTGTTCTGTGAAAAGTACTTTTGTCATTAAAGAAGTAGGTCACCAATGTATAATGCACTTGATGCAGTTGCCTTATAATTCTCTCAATATATTCTGCATTTTAGAAATTATAATATACATATATATTATACATTATATATATATATATATATAAATTATAACATACCTATATGTAATTTTTTTTAGTGGTTATATGTTTTGAACAATTTTAAAGATGTAGCTTAATTAATTGTGATTCTATCGAGTTATTTTTAAGGCAGTTACTTGATTTTGATTAACATAACTAACCAAAAACATTCAACAATAATTACTTAATGAAGCAATAAATGATGGGGGGCAATTTTATATTATTTTAATGGAAGTACATATTCCACAATTGAATGAAGCTAAGTTAAAATTGCGGCTTGTCCATGTAGGCTATTTTTCCTGCTTTTTCATACACTAGATACCAGGCCCACTTTTATAAATGGGCAGACTGGGCATTTCGGGCAGAGGGGAGCGGGCGCCCCCTCCCGCCCGCACTAGGAAAAAAGGGGGCGCTGCTTTTGGGTTGCGCAGGGCTCCACTGACCCTTAACGCGGCCCTGCTGGATACAATGTATTATATATAATCATTTATTTATTGTATTTTTTCAACAAGTTCAATTTATAATACTGTCTATTTATGAAAACTGAAATAAACATTCAACAAAATAGGTCAGGTAAAACAAGTGCAACAAAATATTTAAATATAACATTTATATTTTTAAAAGTATAAAACTATAACTAGTGCAACTTTATTACATTCAAGAAAAGAGTCTGTGTACAAAAAGTGATACATTTGAAAATGTATTAAAGTATGCTTGGGCTTGGATATAATATTGGAGTTTCATTCAACATCACAAACCAACACAAGTTACTACAGGCACAAGTTAGTGTTTACCAGTGTGCATTTAAATTTAGTGACATTTATATTAGGCTAAATGTTAATACCGTATTGAATTTATAAATACATGGATTATAAAATTTATCAAATATATTTAAATAAACGGTATTTGCAAACTGACACATACTTTCTCCCATTGGCTTGTCAACAACCTTTATCATAGGTAAGTGGTGGGAGTAAAACTATGATATTTTAAAGAGAAAATCACAAAAGGTGCGATAATTTTTGAGCAGTAATAATTGTTTACCCGCAATGGGGGTTTGCTCTATTTTCTTTGAAATTATAAGGACCATAATTAATTAATTAAATTATTTGAATCAAAACCAGTTTTTTTCCTAAAATCAGATTTTTGTTATTTTATGGGGTTTTTAATAGGAAAATAACATAAGTTACAATAACTTTTGAACGATAATTTTTACAGAAATGTGTTTTGTACCATTTTGTTTAGAATTTAAAGGACAATAGCACAGTACATAAAAATCGTTCTGGCCATTTTTTGAGAAATTCCGATTTTTCCGTTATTTTATGGGAAAATAACCATTAAAAATCAAAATGTAAAAAAATGAAAAAAACACCTGGAGATACCATGGATTAGTGCAAACATACCACATTTCATCAATATCGGACAACAGGGGTGGTCTGTAGCTCTGTACACATCCACACAATACAGACAGACACACACAGACATCACTTCGAAAACAACTTTTTTGGGTTCAGGAGGACCCAAAACTGATATATCCACTCAAAACTCAAACTCGAAAATTTTTACGAAAACAATACTTTCTCCATATCCTTTGTATAGGGGGAGAAAGTAAAAAGCAAAATGTAACCAAAATATGTTTTTTTAATTAATTTTTTTTTCACTAATATCAGAGATTAAACGTACTTCATTAAGCAACATGATATAGAATCTGAATAGAAAACACCCTTGGATTTACCCCCTTGGTATTTTACTATCCTTGGAGTTTCTAGTAGTAGAGCCAGAGTGTGTTGATGTGTTCTCTGCAATTTATATATTTTATACTAAAACCATCCCTACCAAAATAACAACCTATTTGTAAACTAACGCTGGTCCTGCTCTTATAACCAAGCAGTAAAGTGCACCCGTAATATTTACTCTTGAGAGAAATGTTTGGTGAACATCAACATACTGAGTGTGTTACACCAAAACAATGTCCGATTATAATAGGATGATATGCCTACTATAGCAGTAGCCAAAGATAATCAGACAGCAACTGCAACAAGTTCCATACACTACCTACATAGTAAAATCAAAGATTACACATGGTACGCAATTTACATAGCATGTGTAATCTTTGGTAAAATAAACATTCAGTACTTTTAAACCTGTTGATTTTTTCATAAATCTAACATTTACTTATATTGAAGATATTTTTCCAGGTTGAAGAAAAGCTCTTGTATTCAATAAAGGTTGTATACAAAGAAGAGGTTAAATTATGTTATTTAATAAAAGAATGGTTAAATACAAAAGGAAGCAAAAGCAGCAGAATCTTGAACATAATGACTGTTAAAGGGACGATGATACTTATATTATGTTCTGAAGATTGACTCATGTTGAAAGGTTGACGTTTAAACACAAAACAATAGTTACTGCCATGTTCTAAAGGTTTTGGTTTTTAATGAGTTGTAATGATGGATAGTAAATTTATTTCAATGAAAATGTGAAAGTTTGTATGGAAAAAGTTCTATAAACTCAACATTGGAGCAATGTTTATCACTTGATATCTATTAAATTAAATGTATAAAAGGATGCAAAATTAAAATATAATTACTTAACACATAACGGAATGAAAATATTTATGACACATTACAAATGTTGGAAACAAAATACTTGAAATTTACATAAAATGACAAAAAAATATACCCTTAAGTTAAAAATTTCCTAAATTTTCCCATCTATAATTTATTATAAACCCCAAAAACATGAGTGTATAGAAGAAATATTGAACACAATACATTATTTAATCACTTATGAACACATGCAGTTATTGCGAGCTACCATGATGAAAATTAAAATAATGTGTAGGACTGTCATATAAATATAACATTATTACTACTCTTATTATTACTACAATGGTAACCTTATTTATAACAAGTTTTAATTGTTGGCACTTAAAATACTGAAAAACATGAGGAATGAAAAAGGAAGTTAACTCTGTTCATTAACAGAAAACAGTCGTAAGTAATGATTAGTTGATCACAGGTAACAATATCATGATTTATCATCCAAATCATAAAGTACACGATTAATATAAAACAACATCAAACATTGTTCCTGAGCTAGGAGTAATTTTAAGTAGAAGGGATATTTAGAGCAGGATTTTTGAAGCTGAGAGGCTTGAACTAAAATAAAACACCTTCATATTATGTGTTACAGTTCCAGCCTTCAACATTTCGTTATCCTCCCCATCTATACACAATGTGTGCTTAACACAACAATATGTTGTAACAAGATATGCAGCACCAGTATTACACTTTTCTTTTTAAATGGTTTGATACGATTGCGTCCCCTCAAATCACCAGAGTCAATCGTAAAAAAAAACTGGTAGAGTTTGTGTTTAGTAGATTTGGGGGGTGGGAATAGAAAAGCAATTTCAGTAACACCGTGTGCTTTAGTACAGAATGCGGGGATTAGTTTTTCATTGAAAATGCTATTGGTCGCCTCACCTGTCACATCTACCAACACCAGTTCTGCATATTGTTCTTCTTTGAGTGATCACACATCAATGAGGGATCTTTTATCTGATATATTTAGTCAAAACAAACTACACTGATGGATCCATGGTGTACTAAGCTTTGTATAGGGAAAGAAGATGAAAAGTGCTGGTGGAGTTAGAAGAAGGTGGATCATCATAGCTACTCATCCGCCTAGATGCTAACTGTTGTAGGCTACACCTAGGCGTGACAAACCAAGATCTACCCATGTAATTTGCACTCAGAAATATCCTCTGGTACAACTGGAGGTACACACTACTTTCCTCTTCCTGTCTCATTTGATTGCATGTTAAATCTTGAACAGAAACTTTTGGTACCGTGCTGTGCTACAGTATGCGATTTCTTCTAAGTTAGTAGTTTTAATGATAATCAGAGATCATTTACTTCATGGTCCTCTCAGCATTTCAAGTAGGAGCTAAATATTTAAACTAAACTCAGTTTATTATAACTTACTTGATTTTTAGTTAGCCTAGCTATAAATACAACTTGGTGTTAGGAAAATACTCAAAATGTCAAGACGTTATCCTGTTATCTTAACCTCTTGTTAAATTTTAGTTTACAAATAAAAAAATTCTTTTGTGAGTTTTATAATAACAGAATGCAGCTACCATTATGTTATATCACAAACAAATTAAACATCTTTGCACTCAGTACCAAACAGGTCTGTTAAAGTCCAAAGAAAAGCTCATTACTTGTTAAGAACATTAAACTGAAATTAAAGCCACATACAAATTAGTCGTGTATTACACAAAATAAATGTTAATTTGCTTGTTTCTTCATAACCCAAAATAATACGTATTTTCTTTAAACACAATGGTTGGCAGATTATGTTGTATGTGTCAGACAGAGGTCGACGTGGAAGGTTGAGGTGTGACAGACAAAAGACAGACACTGACTATCAGAGGATAGTCAAAGTCTGGACACAGATCCATCACCTTGACCTCATGGTTGCGGACCAACATAACAGAGATAACACCTGATGACTGGCTCAGCTTGGTCTGTCTCTGCTTGTCCAGGGTTGCCAGAGTCACCCTACACAGTAACAGTTAATTATACCAGAGGAAAATATGAGGGAGTTAATATGTGAATACAGTAAACCCTCTCTTAACCGACCCTAATGGGACCGGACCTCGGTCGAATAACTCAAAAGGTTGGTTAAAACGGGCAATCCCTAAAATCATAACATAATGAAGTGCTATTCATTTGGAATTATGTAATCATTATTTTGAAGTCATACTTGCATTATTTATAAAATAAACTACTCTTATCTCCTTTTTTGTATTGATAGAAAAGACACAAATAAGCACAAAACACGGTTAAGCCAAATAGGCCTACCTTCAGTGGAATATAAATTATACTACTAGGCAAGAGTCAATAAAAATTCATATTTTAATAACTTTAGTACTGTAATGTGTTAATTGATGCTTTCCAAATCCATCGTAATACAGTACAGAACCTTTTGTCAAAATTCAAGATACAAGCAACCATTTTGTTACAAGACAGGATGTTTATTTATAGCCTCTCACTGGAGGCTCGAGGCACAAAAACTATCTTGACCTTGGAGTTGTTAACCCCCCTTCCCTGCCCTCCATACAATTGGGTTGCGTTGCTTGTTTACTCCAGCGATAAGATAATCAGTTAGTTCTCAAAATCGTAACGTACTTTACGATGTTAAAAATTTTCCGCAAAGATAACAAACTGACAATATGCTATATTTTTTGTTATCAATACAAAATAACTTATTCTTAGTCATATCCTGTGGAGATAAGCGTATGGTTCAGTTCTCATCGCCCAGCGTGGGAGCGGAAATGCAGAGATTCCTACAAAGCGGCGGTTAAACCGAGCTGCTTTCAAAGCAAGGTCGGTTAAAACAAACTGTATTATTTTACAACCGAAGGCGGATAATCCGATTATCGGTTAATACGAGGTCGGTTAAGAGGGGGTCTACTGTATTGAGTCTGATTCAGTAGAATTCCGCTACTCCAAAGTAACTGGGACCAAGCCCTGTTCTGATCATTGGGAATTCAGAATAAACCAATTTCTGTAGTAGTTGTTCATTGCGGTCGTGGATGATGTACACGGTTTGGCTGCGATCACAGGATACAATAATGATCACTCAATTAGTACTTTGCCAATATTGGCAAAAGGAAACACTAATTAATAACTCTGAACCCACCTAAAAATATCAAATCAATACCACCTGCCCCAATTCTCTTGCCCTGTACCCAACGGATGCAAGAGAAATTTATAAAATTATAATGAATTTTAAAAAATCAAATTCTTGTTGATATGATGGTGTAAGTCACAAAATTGTACGTCACCATGCAAATTACATATGTCAACCTCTTGCTGATAAAATAAATGTCTCTTTACTGCAGGGCATATTTCCCAGTGTTCTAAAGCAAACAATAATCCGCCCAGTTTTTAAAACTGGCAATTCTAACTTTCCTGAAATTTGGCGTCCGATCGCGAACATGTCTACCTTTTCAAAAATATACAACCATGTTTTTGCTCAAAGGCTTCTTGATTTTTTATTAAAAAAACAACCTTGTATGTAAAGAACAATTTGGATTTGTAAAGGGGAAAGGTACGCCTGATGCCACCATTGACTTAATCACCAAAATAATCAGTGCTGTAAATAATAAAAACAAAGCTATCGGGGTATTTTTGGATTTTCAGAAGGCATTTGATTGCTTGGACCTCAGTATAATTTTTGAGAGGCTTTATAATCTGTGAATCCGTGGCCTGCTCCTTGACTGGATAAAGTCATATCTCCTACAAAGAATTTAAAGTGTAAAGTGTTAACGATTGCATAAATTCAAATAAGCTAGAAGTGAATTTCGGAATTCCCCAGGGCTCAGTTTTGGGGCCTAATTTGTACATTTTATATACAAATAGTATAACTAAGAATCACCATAACTATGTACGCTGACGATTAAGCCCTCTTGTTTGAAAGTAAATCATTAGATAACCTAGAAATTGATAGCTTTGTATAACTGACAAACCTTCATCAGTACTTTAATAGCAATAATTTACACGTTAATCCAAGCAAATCAAGCTGTATACATTTTTCAAAAGCCAATCATTCTGAGGCCAGCCCAGTAATGTTTATGAACGAATTTAAGTTACCCTTAGACACATAAGTGAAATATCTAGGATTGATAACACTTTTTCTTGGACACCTCATGTTGATGCGCTGTGTTCCAAGCTATCATCTCAATTATTTTTAATGATTAGATTCGCGAAATATCAAAATTTATTACTTACCCAATTAATTTATTTTTCACTCATAGAGTTAAGATTAAGTAAGGTACGGAATTATTCTCTCAAGCAATTTATTGATTGTCTGCGACACAATCAAGTTTTTTTTGCATTTTTAGATTGCAAAAAAGAGCCTTCCCTATTATGGCAGGTGTGTACAGAAGAACACCTTGCCGGTTTTTTTTAAAACCTTTTGAAATTATAACGTTACCTTTGATATGTATTATTGAGATTCTATTATATTATAAATTTAAATCAACAACAGTAGCAACCAGTGAAAATATTCTCAATTATAATACCAGGCAAAGCCACCATCATAGACAAACCTCTCATAGATTGGAATTAGCTGCATCATTACCTCAAAGTCTCGGGCCAAAACTGCTTAACAAATTACCAGCCAATCTACAATCCTTAACATCGGAAGCGAAATTCAAAATTAAGCTAAAAAAAGACTGCGCATGTTACTCTGTTGCAGAATTTTTTGAACAGCCCAATTTATATATAAAAAAAAGGTTAAGCTAAGTCCACCTGCTCTGTATTAAGGAACGTGGCAGCGTTCCGCCCCGCCAAGTCCCCCAGCGGTACACAGCTGCTGCAGTGTATATATACATGACGTGACAAAGTGGTTTTTTTACTCGTCTATAGCTCTGAAGAAACAAAAGCTATTAAAATAATTAATTATTCATCTACTGGATAGGGGCACTCATTCTCAACAAAATAAAAAAAAGAATTTAAAAAACGGTTGTGTTTGAGCCAGAAAAACTAGTTTGAAAATTCACAAATTTTCCGTGTTCTCCTTCTTCTCCTTGAATGTTGACGGACCTACAGCCCAAACCACTGGCTCAATTTTAATGTTTTTTATGTTGTTTGAAAGCCCTTAACGTGTAGATGTGCCTTTTGAGGGTCTCAAGTCGGTGCGTTGACCCATAAACCCTTGGCAAGCCCTCAAAATACGATTTTGGCCCATTTAAATAACATGGGATTAAAATAAAAACAAAAGAAGGACCAGCTGCAATTAAATCTCATTTAATTTCAGTGTTAGAGAAATTCATAGGAACAGCTGAAAATTATTTTAAAACTTTTATAAAGTATTTTTTCAGGTATACCCACGGTATACCGAATGATTTGAACTACTTACTATATAAAATTACTTAGAGCAGTGATATTCCCCGATACTCTCCATTGAAAAATGCAGTGTACCGATGGTACACTGGTACAGCAGCTCGTCGTTTTTAACAGTTTAATACTACTTATTAAAACATATGAAATCTAGGAACTTGAAACTTAGTACTAGTACTAAGATTTGTTTTATGTTTTGTTACACTAAAACAAATAAAACAATCGGGAAAATCACTCTACGTATGTTAAACAAGCAATTAAAAAGTGATATGTAAATTTAGGATGGATGAGTTTTTCAAATATTTGTTTTGTTTATGCTATTTCTAACAAACTAAATCTGTTTGATTACATTTTTACTTCTCTAATAAGGGCTAAATTTACACTAGTCTTTAGATGTACGGGTTTAATTATCAGAACACTTATGTAACACCAACGCATTTCATGTTGTTCAAGATGACCATTGATAAAATTTGAAACTGAGTTTAAGCCCAGGGGGTTTGTTAAATAGTAATTTTGGTACGTGTGTCAAAAAGTTTTTAATCTGTTTAAAGCAGATTAGACCAAAAATGTAGAATTTAGTTCTACAGAAACAATATTATTGAAATTAAATGAGATGTAGTTGTGCCGTTGTCTATATATCAGAGAAAGGAGGATTTTTATTTTAACTGTTAATTTCCTACAAAAATAAATAAAATCCAACAAAAAACCACTAAGTGGTAACACTTTCCCCGCCAAGTCAGCAATCCAAAAAAGATAATAAATCATTACCTTTTCCGCCAAGAAAAACAATCTAATGTATGTAAGTTTGGCAACTTGGCGGCAGACTTTTGCTCGATCACTTTAAAAAAATACCATAAAACTAGTTTCATTGAGCAAGTATCTCTCCCATTAATACATTGCTAGGTGAGAGCTTGTTTTACAAAATTTGGCCTTATTTGTGCCACATTTCATAAACTCGTAATAGTGATGGTTTTATATTTACTGATTACCTCGAAATTATTATACTTAGTTGGACTAATTAATTAGAGAAGTTGATTTGTGAAATTATCCACGAGCGTAACTTCAATGAAAAAAACCAAGCAAAAGTCTGCCGCCAAGTTGCCAAACTTACATACATAACATGGTTTTTCTTGGCGGAAAAAGTAATGATTTATTATCTTTTTTGGATTGCTGACTTGGCGGGGAAAGTGTTACCACTTAGTGGTTTTTTGTTAGATTAATTACTTTTATGTGTTATCAGTGTTATAGTACCAGTTTTGTACTTTCATTAGCATTATTTTATTGTTTATATTTAGAAGTATTTAAAGTTGACGTTTGTAATACAATGTATATTGTCTGACTACAATAAAAGATTTTGATTTTGATTTGATTTTGATGTCTCTGTGTCTTCGGAAGATGTTTAAGATTTCCCTGTAACCTCGGAAGACTTTTGTTATTTTCGAGTGGAGTTTTTGTTTTTGCAGTAGCAGACAGCACTGTGTGATCAAAATTTTACCACAATTGTTGGTAATGTTCACAATTTTGACGCGATCGTGTGAGACAATAATGATGTCTCTGATACAGCAGAAGATGTACGATTTCGGCCATTACTATGAAAGAAATTCTTGATTCTATTCTATGTTTAGTTTTTTACTGAGCCTTAAAAAATAATAATAGTTTTCCAACTTTAGTTTGAAATATGGGTTCTGGAATAGCTGGGCCCTCCTGTAGTAATGAAATGAAATGTCAATGTCTCAGAAGAGCTATTCTCAACTCGACACTCAATTTGTTTATTTACTTGAGCAGTAGCAATCAGAACAGATGTTTCGAACCTTAGCATGACATTGCGTATGCCATTGTAGCTGAGTGGAGCATCATCACTGGCTCGACGCACTGTCAACATGTTGTTAAAGGTTGACCAGACGAGGTCCAGCCCAAAGTTGAACACCTTCCACTTCCACGTGTGATTGTCCTTGCTCTCCAACACACGACCACACCGAACACAAGATGAAAAAAATTTGTCCATCCCAATCCGCTCTTTCTCGGGTCTAAAACAATCAGGGTTTGCAAATTCATGTGTATTCTATATTGTCTTTAGTACTTTGTTTTCTTTAGGAACAAATTTCATTAAATCATTTTATTAAAATTTCCTAATGGTGACATCTAACACCGCATTTTTAAGGGTGGATGGTGGGGTGTTAAAAATTTTGATGCAATCAAAATAAGTTTGTTTGAAAAAAGTTGTGTTATGTTAAGTAGTTGCCTAACATTGGGGATTACAGAAATTATATATTGAAGAGTTATTTGTTTCGAAAAGATGTTTGTTTTTCCAAAAAAGGAAAGACGTTCAAAAATATAAATATACGAAAAGTTATAAGATTGTTACAGGAGAAGACACCTCTACATGCTTTCAGGCTTCACATTCTAAATACTAGTGTCAGTGCCTTGGTCTGTCGAGTAAAAACCATCTTCTGAATCTTTAAGACGATTCAGCATCCCACATTGGGACACACAGACTGCTACAAACTTTGTCCAAATGCTTAGAATAATCAAGTCTAGAGCCAATGATTAAATCAAGAAGATTTTTTTGATGACATGACTCAATTTCCTTGTCACCATGAAAAATGTTTGATATTCAGCGATCACATAAGACCAATAGATGGATCACTGGGGCTGACCGATGAAGCCAACTTTTGCATGCTGCGACAGAAGTAAAAATTATGTTGTTTTGGGTTTAAAGTTCATCAGTCACATAATTATGTTATTATGTCACTGGAGTCGATATCTTTCAATTTTGATTGCATAAACATTGTATTAATACCTGTATTTTTTTGTAACCTTAACCTTTGTAAACAGCTAAGTAAAAAAGTTTGGGTTTTGGTTTTAAGATTCAAAATTTCTGGTTTTTGTTGAAGCAATTTCAATAAGTCTGTGTATAATGTCATATTAATTATGAAACATATGACAATATTTACTATGTGTAATTGTTCAGTTTTTATTAGTTGTGTTCCAAGTTCTGTCTTTTATTAAGATACAAGCTGCTATACCCGTGCTTTGCAACGGGAAGAAAATGTAACCTATTAAAGTGGTGCTGATGTGTGTTTTAAAATACAGCAACTCTATGAGTTAGTTTGAAAATATAAACGGATTTAAAAGCGTAAACCTACTTACGTCCAAACACCTTAAGATCCATATAAGAATATGACAACATACCTTAGTGTAGCAATAGCCTCAATTGCTTCATATTGATGCTTCATGAATGACACGTTTTACCATAATTCTTCAATTTTAGTCAAGCCTCTTCACATGTATATAAATTAAAAATGAAACTTTGAGCAATACTTTACAAAACGTATACAAACTCTATTTTAAACCAAACATAACCCTCCTCAATCTACATAAAGCATCACAAACATCTTTTTCGAGTAAATAAACAAACACCAGTTCATTATACTGAACAGCTGTTTCGTTAGCTAAATTAAATTAAATCATTTAAACATTGGAAGCATGCCAGGCGTAGCCCTTTGGAAATCAGCCTGTGGGGCAGAGCCCTTAGGAAATTCGTCCACATCAATACTTTTTGGCAAATCTACACACTCTAAGCTTCATTTTGATGTGCCATATATGCCTATATTTTTATTTGGTAAATGACCTTAACCGTTTGCATAAAATTTGATTGTATCACTTTAATAATATAATAGATTAAAAGTTCAATTTAAATTCAACACAAACCTTAAGGAATCTTAATTATTATAGTTATATAGCTGTTCTGAAAGTGGACCTAAAACCAACAGTTTTGACCATCACTAGTACATGATATCAACAGTAGAGCAATTTTTACAAAAGGCAAACTTTTTCCTGAAAAGAACAACATTTGATTCCAAAAAAGGCCAAGTCTGTTGAGATAGTGTTTTCTCAGTACTTTTGAAAAAGTAAAAGTAACTTAATAACCTTATGTGACGGAGTTAGTAGCCAAGTGATAGTTTTGTAGTGATCCACTACTGTATACAGTAGACCCTCTATAATCTGCTGCACTCTATAATCGTACTGCACCACTCCGGTACTCAAATTTTTTATGTGTGTGGTCTTCCCCGATCGCGGCAAAATTCTGAATATCTCCCATGGCCATGTAGACATCATCGTTGACTCCGTGGTAACGGAAACGTCATCGTCCTCTTGCGTGATCTCAAGAAATCATGAACATCTCCTGCAGTCGTGTGGACATTATAATCGTCTCCCGCCATCACGGTGATCGCGGTAAAATCATGTCTATTTCCACCGGTTGTGTAGACATTATCGTTGTCTTCCGCGATTGCGGCAAAATTCTGATCATCTCCCACAGCTGTGTTGACATTATCATAGTTTTCCGCGGTCATGGAAATTCATTGTCGTCATGTGCGATCACAGCAATAGCGGTTTCTGATCGTGCGATCCACGCAAACTAGTTCTGTGCATTTAAAGTGTTTTTATTGATGACATTCCAGTAATCCAGCAGTATCATAGTCCTATATTTGCCAGATTACTGAGAGTCTACTGTACTTAATTAGCCTTTAGCGAGTTGGCTTTGGAGACTGGCCAATAACTGGTCAAGCCTTGTGTATTCAGTGGATCAAGCATGCATCAATCTGGTCTAACATTAGTGACTATTAGCTGCTGTGGGAACGGGTATAGAGCTTCTGTCGTCTACTAAATTAAATTCCACTTCACCATGCAATATGGAGCATCCCTAGACCTGTATTAGTCATGTAGGCCTATTTCAAATAGAAGCCTCAGCCTTTATTTATTTAATCACAGAAGTGTCTGTGAATATGCCCCATCAAAAATTAATGATTTAATTGTCATATAAAAATTTCATGACCTTAATAATAATAATTTCATATAATTTCATGGTCTTCTCATGATAGTGGGAAATAAATTATGATGATATTGCTGTGACCATAAGAGACGTTCACAATTTTGATGTGACTGTGGAAGATATTCACGATTTTGCCATAACCTCAGAAGACATGATTCATGATTTGGCTGTGTCTGAAGATGATGTTCACAAATTCACCGCCACCGCTGAAGATATTCTTGTTTTGCCGTGACCACATAAGACGTTCTTGACTTTTCCATGTACAATATTATATTATGTTTATCCGATTGAAGTACTATAAGTAGTATTTTTAAAATCTGGAACGCAGCCTTCTACATGATGTTACCAGTAATGGTAATAACAAGACAGTCTCACATACCACCTATACTATACAGTGAACATGGCACTGAGTACAGCGCTATCTAGTACTACTAGGAAGTGATATCCACTTACCCTCTGTCCTTGCCACTGTCCAAGCATAGCAGACTGGCCCACTGGTCTGTCAGTACAGGGTAGAGCCAGACCTCAGGCAGTAACCTGTCTGTTGTCAGTGTCCGCAGGTCCTGTACTTGGGTGATCAGTGAGCCAATGTGTAGACCTTGGAACACTCTCAGGTAGTCCTTGCCTTCAGGACTCACCAGGAAGGCTGATTTATCTGTCAACAACAAATCACTCTTATCAATGATTGTTTTTCTAGACATCTGCAAAGCATAATACAATTATTCTCGGTTTTATATATATTATCAGGATCCTATAGGGATAGTGCTAAACATAGTTACAAAAGAAAAGTATACAGCTTCATACAATACAGTAGAGTTTGAAAAATATCTGTAAATTTTTTAAACATATCGTGGTAAAAAAAGTTGTTGAGTATTGGTTTTAGCAACAATTTATGTCTATTATTTAAGACTGCAACACACTTGACAAATAAATAAATGTGAAGGTTGTCCGTATGTTAAAGACTCCAACAAGCTGCCAATGACTAAAAAGCTAGTCAAAATCTAAGACCAACATCAAGTTCCTTCCTTCATCCACTACTTTTCTATCTAGTTTCCACCCAATGGGACTACTAGTATTGCCATAGTGAAGAGTATTTGAAAATGTCGAGAAAGAAAATTCACACCCCCGTCAAGTATGTAGGCTATGGCATTCTGTGATTAGGTTTGTGTAGGAAGGGGCTCAATCGGTTTTGATTAGGCTACGGTTTCCAGTTAACAGATGTGTATGCAAAAAGTTGTTTTGTATTAGAATATGTGAATGAGAGGTTTATGGAGTTTAAATAAAACCATGGTCATTTGAACAATTGGACCAACAGTTGTTGTTTATAAGTTACGATTGAATTTGAGGAAACTTTGCTTGGTAATCATTGTATTTCAGACTTACAGGGCTGACCGCATAACTTAATAATCTTATAGAGATGACCTATATTTGTACAACATGAGACGTCCCTATTAGTTCAACAAACTCCCTCATTGAGTCACATAGCATTCTGCATGCGAAATTCCCCTAAAATTGGCCACTGCTTTAAAAGAGACTGAAGAACAATAACAGTCGGCCTATACCATGGAAAGCAACATACAATCATGTTTCAGACCAACTCAAAATTCCTGCCTAACCTTTGTGCACATTTTGTATGTCCAAACACTTCATTCACGTCCATCAACTGGTGAACGGGTTCAATAGCAATTAAATAAATAAATAAGGTCTTTATTCATGAGAAAATTTCAGTAACAATACTGTTTTACAAATTGACTCAAATGATACAATTGACAACAGTGATAACAGAAATATAATCATAGAACACGGTTTTTACTTGGGGGAGTGTCAATTTTCTTTCTTGGCCATTGTAAATACTATGACGGAACTTATTGTCCCATAGGGGGAGGGACACGACGTTGGTCTCAGATTTTAACTACCTGGCTTGGCTGCCCCTGGAGCTGAATGGAGACCTTCATTTATAGACGACCCTCGTATATTGTTTATCTATTCGACTTGATAGCCAACCAAAGACTAAGATGGTTTTTGTGAAAGAAACTGCTATGGAGCAGATACTACCAAATGCTCTTTAATTTACCTTGCCCTTGTATGCGTATAAGGAGTACAATATAGAAGAACACTCACAACTACCCTTCAAATCTGAAGGTAGCTTTTGGTTACTAACCAAGCTGGAATTTTTCATTGGGGTATTTATTAGTGATGCATACTAATTGCAGGTTAATGTCTTAAAGTAAAAAAAAAACTACCCGAATTTGAACTTCGCCGTTTCAAAAAATTCCAATGTCTCTAAATTTGTCTGGTATAAAAAATTAATGAAAATATAAAAATTAAAAACTCAAGTACAACTTCAGGTTTTTGAATTAACTTGAAATAAATAATTTTTGGCAACTAAGAGTTTGGTAGTATAATGAGATTTGCAAACCTGGTCGTTGATGGAAAAACTCAGTGACTTGTTTGGAGTCTGATCCTGTGCAGCCGTCCTCATCATGGGTCCAGTGTGGATGTAGCCTCAAGAACACCCAGAATCTGAGCAACCAGTAGAGACAAAACTCTGTCTGTACCACCACCAGGTCCTTGTCTTGCACCAGAACTGCCATCAGGTCTGGCCTACAACACCACAATGGTATGGTACACCATTACTTGGAAATGCATTCTTCTACTGGAATCTAAATTTATAGCCTATATATATTAGAATTTTGGAACAGATGGTATTTTTGGCCTTTGGGATCATGACAACCAAAAAGTAAATCGGTCCCCGGTCCAGTTCTTACCACAAGATCTACGGAAATAGCTTAATCCCTTGATAGGAAATTCGGTAAAAAAATAAATAAGTTGTTGAATCTAGTCTTTGGGAGATGACTATGTAGTAAATTTTGCATGTGTTCCAGGAGTCCATCAACATTAGGTTCGCAACACAATAGGGACAAATTACAGGATGTAAATTTATTACTTTAGAAAATAAAATGCTGAGATAGATGTTTACAACGTATGCTACTATAAAAATGAAACTAAAAAGATTAGTTTCAAAACTAATTTGACCAAATTAAAATATTTTCTCACTCAATCTGTCGCAGGCGTTTAGCGTGGGAAGGGTAGTAGGTCATGAGGTTGGTCAGGAACCACTTGACGGTGGCATGTCTGATGCGCTGCAGCCCGTATTGACTGGCCGCCTCGTAGTAGCTAGTGGCCGTAAGAGGACTGATGGTCTCCACCATGATGCAGAGACATTGGTCTATCAGTCCGTCCAACTGAAACATTGTAGCAGCCGCCAACACCCCCACCACGTCAGCTGGCTCGATAGACACCTCGTCCTGGTACAGTGAGCCAAGCACCACCTTTAGTGCTATGACATGGAAATATGTGTTAAACGGCTTTCTGACAAAGCAAACCCTGATTAACCAAAATAAAGGAGGCAATGCCATTTTGGATAACCTATTTTTACGGTTAGTCAATGGTAGGAATTAAAAGGACTAAGACTGTTCAAAGAGATCTACAACAGTAGTTTTTAATGTTATTTTATTTGATGTCATCTTAAAAATCTACACCTGCATACACTAAATCTATTTCTTGTATGATAATTGAGAGTAATTGTAATTGTTTTCTGAACTTTATCTATGTAATTGTCTGCTCCATTACATTCTGTTGGTCAAGCCAAACCAACTAATTGTGACAAGGCATACAGTTCCCATTGCCTAGCTAATTTTGGAATGTATTCGAATTTTTTATTGATGGCTTCAGTTAACCTGGGTGTTTAACAGGGTGTGGTTGAAACAGGGTTGCCACCTTTGATTAGGGACGAATCGGGATGGCCCCCCCTCCCCCTAGTATTAACAAAGACATAAACACAGGCAAAGGGTCCGAAGTCAGGACTGTCCCGACAGAATTGGGACAGGTGGCAACCCTAGGTTAGAATGGGTTTTACTGTAGTTCACACTTTTCAGTAATGAAATGAATAGGAATTACAACATTTTGGTTTTTGGGGAGCCTAGACATAGCAGATGAAATGTATGGTCCATGTTTCCAATTGACATTTATTTAAAATCTATGTTACATTTAAATCAATGAAAATTAGACTTCATGTTGTTAGCCTCCGGATCACTGGTATAGTAATAAATAATGGTTTAAATACCTTATAGGCCTACTGTCAAAGTGATCCTTTGTAGTCCAAATATAGGCTACTGCAGTTTCGTTCCCGATGATGGGAACTTCATCACGCTGTCAAGGACATCAAATTTCGTTCCAGAGGAAGTCGTTAAGACCTGGATCGTTAAGACCTTAATCGTTCTAGACCTGCCCTCCGTACGTATCGTGTTTCCCGGTACCGGCGTTTTTGTAATGTTTATTTATTGTTTGTGTTTTTGTTTGTGTGCTAAATGTATGACATCGATGGATTTTCATTTTAACCTTAACGACTTCCCCTGGAACAAAATTTGATGTCCTTGACAGCCTGATGAAGTTCCCATCATCGGGAACGAAACTGCAGTAGCCTATATTTGGACTACAAAGGATCACTTTGACAGTATAAGGTATTTAAACCATTATTTATTGAAAATTAGACATGTCTAATTTAATGTATTAAACTTACAGTCTAGTGTTATGTTGGGATCTGCTATCTCTATCCTGATGTATTTGTTGTCTGTCTCTTTCCAGGAACCAGAAAACATACTTTGAAAGTATGGACTCTGAAAAAATTAAGTTAAACCATTTTAATTAAATAATATGGTTAGTACAAAAAATGATTATGCATTTATGCACTGTATTTGTGTTTTATGATAATAAAGATTGATTTAATATGAATCCATGAGTTTATTCATATTGTAGAAAGAGTTAACTACTCTTACAAGCTGCTTGGCATCATAACATAATTTCTTTTAAGATAAAACTCTTAACATTTTGAGGTTTTTAATTTGTTGAAAACACTAGTTGCTGATATTAATTTCACTGTTCATTATCATTGGCCACCAGAGCATTTTCACCTAGGCTGTCAGGGCTGAGACGGAGAATTCGATAAGTTAGCCTATGCCTATGCTTAGTTATTTTTTCTTTTTAAAAACAGTTCTAGTCTAGTAGCTGTTCTTAATAGCAGTTCTGGTCTAGTCTAATACTAGTTTAAGTTTTGACCTGATTTTCATTTTTTTCATAATCCTACCCATGTTGAGGTTTAGTGAAACAGTAAACATTGTCTTGAATAAATATTACCTGGAGCACAAAATGTTTAAACTCAAAAAACTTATCTGTTTCCTTACTGCAAAAGGGAGGGTTCAATTCCCAGTACGCCCACAAATCATATGGGTTTGGACCGCTTTTCCAAAAACTGTTTGTGTACCTCCTGGGCCCTGTTTCATAAAACTACTAGTCTAGTATTTACTAGTCCATGGACTAGTAATACTAGTGTATTTTACAAGTCTACGTTTCAAAAACCTACTAGTGTAAAATACTAGTTACTAGTGTAGGGACTAGTATTACTAGTGGTTTTTACTAGTGTAGACAGCAATGTGTTTCATAAAGTTTTACTCTTGTAAATTACACTAGTAAATACTTGCTATTTTCTACCAACCTCTCTTCACCCGTATTATTTGAAGTAGACTAGTATTTTTGAAAAGAGAGTTATTTCATTACACACATAATTTAAAAAATGAATTATTAAGTTCCTTTTGCAAGTGCGAATCGGTTCATGAATAGATCTGTGAGTGCTAAAATGATAATAATTAGATATAAATTACAATCAATAAATGTGGCGTAGTACAAAATGAGTGAAATTGAATTTTATAATGTATGTACAATCGCCCTATTAGAATAATTATAATTTTATAAGTTATCAATTTCTGTGAAATTTTTGTCTAATTTTACTTGAGTTAAATTTCATGGTTATATCAACTATTTAGCTATCACAGAGAAAATATTTTTAAGCTTTGAGAGAAACCAAATTAAAACCGCATACCGGTACCGTTTTGCATACAAAGATGTACAAAAATGTATCCAACATTGCAACATTAATCAGATTATTTTACACCCAATTAAGGCTCTCGGTTTTATTTAAAGACATTTTAATAGGAAATAATAGTAAGGCAATTTTGTAGTTTTGTAGTTGCATTGTATTTTTTGAGGTGCTTATTATTTGCTAAATAGCTAAAATCCTGAGATGTACTAACAATTTTGTAGGCCTATATTTGATTTTTGGGCGTTGAACTGAACTGCTTATCATAAAAACATTACTTTTAATCCATTTCGGTATTCTGAATTTGTTAACCAAAGTAATCAAAAAATAGATGTTGATTAGAGCTGTTATTTTAATGTAAAAACATGTAAAAGTTTAATTAATGGAATAAAAAGTATAGTGAGTAGTGCAGATTTGAACCAGAGACTCACCACGACAATCAAGAACTCTGCCTCTGAGCTACGCCCTGCCATAGTGACAATGCCATGTTTTACTATACTTGAAAACCTACCATTTGCTTGAAAACCATTGCTTGTAACGGCGTTGCAATTATTTGTTACGTCAATAAACGTTTAGGCTTATTATTCATGGTTTGTAGACTCAAAATTAGAATATCACCAAATAGTTTGTAACCCAAATATTCTTATGCATTCGAATATTTGAAAGCATAAGTTAGGGTACGAACGTTCCAAACAAAATGTCCTTAGCCGATTTAATTACATTCAAAATTTGAGCCTTCTTTTCTTTAATCATAGCAAGCTTAATTTTATATGTCAGAATAAAACAAAAAACATACAAATCACAACGAATGCGGCAGCGACAGATCAACTTCCACCCAACTGTTGAGCGCCTCAACTAGGCCTACAACCGGCTACTACAATCACCGTGTTGATTGCAGCGACGCGACGCCGCGCCGCGCTGGCGTGTCGGCAGGCTCATTGATGAACATAAATAACAGCGGTTTGATAAATAATGTGTGAATGTTTTACCTATGTGTCTTTAAAGTTATTAATTAAAAGGAAACACTGCGTTTCTACAACTATTTAGTTTTAGTATCAAATAAAAGAAAAAATTAAAACGCTTTATGAAGCGCCAGAAAACCCGTGATTGAGGTTAGAAATTTGTTTTGAGAGTTCACTTGTAAAGTTGGTCACGTGACTAGTAGTTTCGGTCACGTGACTAGTAAAATTCACTAGTATTTACTAGCGGTATAAAAACGTTTATGAAACACAAATTAGTAGGACAGGTAAATACGGGACTAGTATTTACTAGACTAGTAATTACTAGACTAGTATCTTTATGAAACAGGGCTCTGGACAATGCGACAGGCGTAGACAAAGACAAAAAAAGTATTGACAAAGACTATCAATAAGAACCGAAACAACAAAATATTGTATGGTAGTGGTTTTACCTGAGTCAAATAAACCTTATGAAGTCTCCACTCCTTTCCAAGAGCATCCACAACAACATCACTATTTCTTCCATCAACAAACAATGCCTTGTATATATACTGAGTTGTGCAGGTGAGTTTACGTCTAAAAGAGGAAATACATTGAGATTAAAATGTTAGCCTATCAACATTATAATTCGGGGAGATTTATCACAACAAAAGTTTAAAACATATTTAAACTTCTAATCCAACCATACAGGGTTATAATTTATTGGTTCAGTCAAATATTGCTTTCCTTTTAACTAGCTTTGCCAATTCCTATGAATACGGGATATTCGCTCTCCTCCTTCCATTCAATTTCCTGAGGCTTTTACTCCTTTCCAAATTTTACTACCTAGGCCCTATCACTAGTAGGCTACTTCAAAAAAGCAAAGCTATTGCCTAAAACTTTTTAGTTTTTTTTTTGTTTTTTCTGCCCCTGAGCACAGAAAACATACTACTATAACCCAGAATGCCAACCACATGGTAAAAAGCATTAAGAGTTTTGAGAGAGCTTTGCCTGTCAATCCGTAGGCAGCGCCACCAGCGTTGCTATGCTGAGTGCATGGCAACGCTGGTGGCGCTGCCTACGGATTGACAGGCAAAGCTCTCTCAAAACGCTTAATGCTTTTTACCATGCGGTTGGCATTCTGGGTTATAGTAGTATGTTTTCTGTGTTCGAGCTATAAGACTTAATGGTTTTAAGTTACCTTTGTCAGTAGCTCAAATGGTCGTTAAAACTCTACAACCAGGTTTCGATGCTGAGTTGCACCATGATCACGTAAGTCAGCAGGATAACTTCTTGCTCACATGTCGGTCAAGTTGACGTGGTTAAAAAGTTTTTGTATGTGTTTTTAACGTCCTGTATTGTTTTTATAAACTTTTAACGACGTCAACTTGACCGACATGTGAGCAAGAAGTTATCCTGCTGACTTACGTGATCATGGTGCAACTCAGCATCAAAACCTGGTTGTAGAGTTTTAACGACCATTTGAGCTACTGACAAAGGTAACATAAAACCATTTATTAAAAATAACTATGAATCTTGATTAACGACTCCATGGGATCATCTAACAATAAAAGTGTTGATTTGATTGATAACCACTTACACTAGGCTAACCAAAATCTAAACGTTCTATACAGATTGTAAGTTAACAATCGATAACTTAATACAACGGCGTCATGATATCGATTTTGCCAAAAAAACTAGATGTTCTAATCGATTCTATTAGCCATGAGCAACCGGTGGTGCAGCTAGTGGAGACACCAGTGGCGACACCAGTGTCTCACAGCTTTTTGGAACCTGAACACTAGAGGCGCTCATAGCTTGCTCAAACCGCAGAATTTATATTATATATAAATAATATTTATATATAAATTTATATTATATACCGGGTGTCCCATAATAGTCCCCTCCCTGGTTAACCTTTTAGTTGCTGCATATTTTCAAACGAGCTTCGATATACACGTTACTAGGGTGAAAAGTACTTTTTGGTGGTATTTTGAAATTCGCCCCCAATCTCCAAATAGGACTATACCCCCTCCTGTTCAATATTGCTCTAGAGGAAGCCCTACAAGCAGTAAAAAATTCACCCTTAGCATCACGATACAATAAAACTAGGGAAAAATATTAATTTAAGGGTTTTGAGTTTTGACAGAGATATTAATTAATGAAACTGAATATGTAGGACTTAAGATAAACGACAATAAAACACAATTTATGAGAGTAGCAAGGGAGGAAGATGGAAATATTGCTAATTTTCTTAAAATAAACAACCACAAATTCCAAAGAATAATAGGATAAATGCAGCAAATAAAAGTTTGTATGCATGTGGAAAACAAATTAAAATCAAAGTTGTTATCAAGGAAAATAAAAATTAGAATCCACACAACAATAATTAGACCAGTACTTTTATATAGAGGGAAAAATTGGATCCTGAGCAAAAACACGGGAAAGAAGATTTATAACCTTTGAGAATAAAGTTCTTAGAGCTTTATATGGTCCAGTATGTGAAGAGTGAGTATGGAGAGTCTGCCAAAACCAAGAGTTAAGAGAATCATTACGAGACCCCGATATTGTAGGAGAGGCCAAAAGCAGAAGGCTTAGGTGGGTTGGCCATATCTTGAGGAGAAATGAGGAGAGCTTGTTGAAGAAGGTACTAAGGGGAGATCTGAGGGGAAGAGACACCAGTAGGAAGACTAAAATCTAGGTGGTGAGATCAAGTCCAGAGGGATATGGAAAAGACTAGACTAGTAGAGGATGATTCGGAGGACCGAGAGAACTGGCAACAATATGTTGGCGAGGCCAAGTACCAGCTTGGGTACAAGTGGCCATGGCAGTAAGTAATAAGACAGTAACCCCAAATAGGGGTTGCAGGGGGTAACTTAAAATTGTTGAATAGCAACACCTATCAAGTAGCACATCATTTTAAAGAGCTTTAAATAAATGCGGAAAATCTGACTCATACGACGGATTTAAAAAAAAGTTACTTATGTCAAGAAATGTTTGACGTTAATTTAACTGGAGCTTTACATTCCATCACTTTAATTTTTTTCATGGTTGTAAATTTTAAATAACCTTCAGTACACGTGACCAGGGTGATGACACACACTGATTAACATGATTTTGAATTTCATCATCCACCCCCTAATAAGGGTTGCTAATGGGGTTTTTATTATTTTTACACTAACTAGTGTCCCTGTTGCTCGAATTCGAGCAATTGCTAACTATTAAAGGCGTTATTTTAAAACGAATAACAGTCATAATTTCTGATGACTATAAAAGATTCAACTCAAATATTTTGGAAATACTCATGATGTAGGTACATAAGAGATCGATATAATCACAATTTCTTGTAAATATCTTATCATTTTTTTTAAAGCTGATCTTGTTTTTTAGTGTTTTCTACAAATAGCCTTACTCATAGCCGCATTAGGTTACCCATAATAGCATTATAAATTCTAAAAAAAACATTTCTATTTCTTCTCCTTGGTGGTGTTCTATGACTTTCAAGTGTTTCCATAATTTGCAAATGGGTTCTTTCAATGATTAATAAGAAATGCAGCACAGTGTTAATTCAGTTTTCTTTTTAAGATATCAATTTATCCAGGCTCTCTCACTTTTTTCCATTGTAATATTTACGCCAAACTGAAATTCAAATAGTAAACATTTCCTTTCAACCAAGACAGTAAATGTTGGTAGCAAACTGAAATCAGCAAACTTATTGACGGTTTACAACAATTACATGTTCAATTGCATGTACAATTGCTTGTTCTTATTCTCACTTTTAATTTCTGACAACAGCTGGAGTTAAAAACAATTTTTGTTTCCCATGTTAATCTTATGGAGAAAAACGAAACTTTAAAGGGCCCCAGGGCCTCACTCTCTAATCATTTCCCTAAAAAGAAAGTTTCCTGCACAACTTCACGTTACGCTCTATCCGATGAGACCAAAAACATGTCAATCGGTTCAGTAGTTTCGGAGGAGTAATTGTCACAAAAATCCTGCTTGCGTATTAAATAAGTATAGAAGATTTGGGGGTGGGGGTGAAATAGAAAATCATGTTAAAGTGTGAAATTTAAAAATACCACCATAAAGTACTTTTCATAACCATAGTAACGTGTATGGAAGCTCGTTTAAAAATATACAGCCGTTCAAAAATTAATTTTTGTTTATTAAACTAAACAAAAAACTAAATACGGCAATAACTAAAAATACCCCCGCCGCAGCAAACCTGCAGACTAAGTGAATTTCAACTTGTCTGATTACATTAAATGTAGGCCTAACTCAAGTTATCGCGTTCACGGACGTATATATATATATTTATATATATATAAATATATATATATATATATATAGGAAATCTATTTTTTGATAGTTTTGTTCACTTTTTAGGGCTACATTTTCAAGAAATAAGTAAAATATTAAAAACCAGAGTACCCTGAAATTCATTTTTATTAAACTTATAGATATTACTAGCAGAGTACCCGTCCTTCGTACGGGGTTGGAATATAGCCTCGTTCACACGGGGCGAGTTTACACGCTACTTGTCGGCGTGTAAGAAGCCGGCGAGTTGGCGAGTGCGCTTGTATTCGTTCACACGGAGCTTGTCCACTTGCCAACTCGCCGACGTGTAGAAAGACGCCGGCGAGTGCCCTTGTAGTTGTTCACACGATGCTTTTTCCACTCGCTCAGTAGCTGGCTTGAACCAAATCCTCCAACATCTTTGAGTAACAAGCGCACAAGCACAAGCAACTGTGTTCACACTGGGCTACTTTACACGCCTACTCGCTCAAAAGCTGGCGAGTTGGCGTGTAAAGTAGCGGCAGCGTAAACTTTTTCCAGAGTTTTTTTACAAGCAGCTTTTGAGCGAGTACGTTGTTCACACTGAGCTATTTTACTAGCTGCGTGTAAAAAAGCCGGCGTGTAGCTTGTAAACTCGCCCTGTGTGAACGGGGCTTAAAAGTATAAAATGCTTATTGCAGTTATACTCAAGCTTTGCGTTTGCAATAAGGGAGGACACAGTTTGATAAAATTTGCTTTTTTAAATTTACAGTATTCTATAGTATTACACATCTACCATAGCCATAATGTTCTACCACTTCACCTAAACAATAGAGAAAAATAAATTATCAACAATTCACAAAATATCACAAATTATTCATGAAATGAAAAACATAAACATAACTGTAAACAATCCTACTTTGACAGTTCTCATTGCGAATCACAGTTTTTTGGTTGCTGCTTGGTTCAAATTAGCTGTTTTCATAAATGCAAAAAAAATATAGTGCTGCACCCTGTTGGTAAATCTTATAACTTTTTAATGCTTTTCCATATCATAGAACCAATTTTTTTAGTTGAAACAGCTGACTAAATTCTTTATTTCCATTTAAATATGAATACTCATAAGGTTAACATGGGGAATTACAGAGCCACTGGGGCGGAGCCCGAAAGGATTTTTGAGAAAAGAATATGCCTATATGTTAATCGGGAATGTAAGCTATCATCATGCCAAATTTCAGCCCAATCCGTCCAGTGGTTTATGCATGATTGAACTTCAAACACACAAACTTTCACATTTATAATATTAGCAAGATACAAATTATAAACATATAAATCTATATATATATATAGCCTATATATATATGCATATATAAAAATTTGAACCAATGGTGTTTTTGGCCTCTGGGGACATCAAAATGAAAATGTAAATCGGTCCCGGGCCTAGGTCTTACCATGAGACCTACGGTAATAGGGTACTTTCCTGTTAAAGGGAACATTCATTATTATCGATGGTTTTTCTCTCGATATATCGATATTAACAAATTGAAACATATCAGCTGACAACTACGATAAATATTGTTCAGTATCAACAAACAATAATAAAATGAAACTGTTCTAAAAAAATAACCTAACATAATTAACCAAACGTGCTGTAACATTTAAAAATTCTGTGTTTAACTTGCCTTTTCTGTTATCAAACGGTTAGCTTAGAACAGTTTTATTTCTTAATCCATACAATAGACTTTTTTAGCCTAAACAAGATCAGTTAGTTAGTTTGTTGTCAATTTGTAATGGATCGGAAAACAAAAATATCGATATATCAAAAAAATCATCGATAATAATGAATGTTCCCTTTAACAGGAAAGTACCGTAGTTATTTATATTATTATATACCGTATTTATATTCCCTATGGATAAATTCGCTAAAAGGATATAGTAAACTGTTAATAAAGACACCGGTATATTATACAAAGTAGGCCTAATGAACAGAAGATAAAAGGTGAGACACGTCTCACTTGACTCAAACCACAATGGCGACTATGTGACAGGCTTAGTTTTTTTAGGTTATTAGCACGCGCAGTCAGTGGCGACACCAGTTGTACACATCTAATAGGCTCCGTATTCTGCAATGCCCCCTAATGTCTGGACACTAAAACGGTGGCGACACCGGTTGCTGGGCAAAATCATTCCCGGCAACTTCACAGACCACTTTTTCGGTGGCACCACCGATCACCCCACGGCTAATAGGCACCATTAGAGTCCATGCCCTGTACACGTCGGCCACCGATGTCGCCACTAGTTGCGCCACTGGTTGCTCAGGGGTAATAGCGGCCTAATAAATGCCAAGCTTGAGTTACCTTAGAACCAACCTGGTATTTAACCAGAGGCAAACACAGCAACTAACATCATTCTCTGATTGCTTTTTTGTAGACGGAGTTTGAGAAGCTGTAGCTAGGGGTCTCAATCCCGGCCGATTTTTGATACCTAGAAATCCCGGGATTGGTGACTTTTAATCCCGGTATTAACAGGACTGCAAAACCTATGTTTAGCCTATATTGATTTTTTTTTTGTATTTGAGGACTTTTACTTACGGAAAATTAATAAAAATACGTCCAATAACACTTGAAACACATACTCTTTATTTTTAGGACGATTATATGAAATGGTATAAGTAATGATCTTTTTTGATTGGAAAATTGAATTATCAATAAACTCAATAGGCGAACGAATGTAGGCCTAAATATATGTTTCAGTTTTTAAACGATTTGGATTTAGTTTCTGTAACTTAAATGTTATTACATTAGTTAAAATTTAGAACTTAATTACAGTAGGCCTACAAGTTATTTTGAGCTTTACTTTTGACATTAAACGTAAACAACGCAATTCGTGTAGCAAACATAACATTGCAATAGGAAATTTAAGTATTATTTTCATTGAAGCCATAAAATATAACTATAAACTCACGATTATAATCTCATTATTAAGATTGCTTATACTGTATTTAGGGTCTAACTTATAACTTTATCTTCGTATTTGGTCATTAGTGTGGTGATTAAATTTCTTCCAATCTAAAATTAGGTTTTTTCATACACACGCTACTACATAAGCAGATGGTTTATTGTTTTAGAGTATCTTAGGCCTATATTGTTTTATTGCTGTCAGTCAAAATAACATTTTTTACGCTGCTACTTGTGATTCTTCCCATTTTATCTTTTTCTCTCAGCTATCTTTACTCTATCTATTAGCGTGATGTATAGCCTACGTGCGAGTGCGATTGCTCGTGATTTTTTAAATGTATTTATTATATTTTAGAGTGACATATCAACATTTATACGTACTGTAAATAAGAAATACGGGCTATGAAAGTTCCCCGTGGTTATATTTATTTACTTAGAAAACGGAAACATTGCTTAGTGTAACACTGGTAAGGGGCCAGTTTAAAACATTAAAGTAGTCAACGAGGGGTCTTCTCGCTCATTTAAAATGGCTAAAAAGTTAAAATCATAATATTATATAATCCCGGGATCGGCTGAGACGAATCCTGAAATCCCGGGATTGGATTGAAGGCCCGGGGTTGAGACCCCTAGCTGTAACATTATCTGAGAGGTAAAATGGAAGAATTTTGATTTCAACTCTACAGGTAAAATTAAAGGCCTATATTTAAGTAATTTTAAATAAGAATTGCATAGAATCAAGAATCAAGAATATTTATTGTCATTGAAACACAAAAAAACAGTGTATTGACAATCGTCACAACTTAGATCTAACATGAAATATGCAATGTCAAGTGAAATGCATATACAAATATACATACATAGTTATATAAGTTTATATAAGTTTATATAAGTTATATAGTTATATATACATACAGCAGCTATTTAGGTAAATTCAAAAATCGAAAACCAACATTAAGTTAGTTGCTCTATTTTTGGAAGCATTAACTTAAGCCTATATAGCCTAAATATGTTTAGGTCTATAAAAAGTTCAATAGATATGATTGGAAATACAGATTAACTTAGCCAAGTTTTACGTAGGCCTATATTTTTGAAAGCCTATGATACCTGGTAGGAGCAGGGGTACAGTTTCTTAACTGGGCTATGCTAACACCGATTGAAACTACCTACCTATCAAATTGAAAATATTGATTAATACTCGACATTTTTAAATATATACTGGTGTGAAACTGCCACTGTTGCATTATACAGTGTAATGAAACCTTCATAACCTAACCTAACTAACCAAACTTGCTGATAATCAAAAAAATCGCATGAAGGTTTACTAATCGAATCGATAGTTTCAATCGATATTGGCATAGCCCAGGTAAGTGTTGACAGTATTGACATACTCAGGAGCAGTCGTATGTCAAAGTTTTGCTGCAAAAAAAATAAAATTTAATTCTCTACTTCTTTCATTGAACTAATGGTGATGACTTAGGCTTGGAACAACATTTAATTGACCAAAATATGTAACTTACGCTACCAAGTAGGCAAGCCTCTGAGACTTTTTAATTTAACTAAAAACTGTTTGCTCTTACTTTTTTGGAGAGTGAAGGGATTCTTCTAAGTTTGTTTCATCTTCTTCCTCAAGAGAAGACATCCTTTTTCGTTTATGGCTAATTCTATTATAGGCCTCAGTTACACTTACAGGAGCATACTGAGAAACAAATTTACTCATTGATTCGCCCATGATAATTTCACCAAAAATGGAAGGACAGCAGTTATTAATTTTTAGACAGTAAAACAACCATTTTTAACGACAAGAACCTCTTTTAGTATAATTCAAAAGATTCTGGTCTCCCACTTCCTTTGTAAGGAAAATGTTAACTTTCACTTTCTTCCATAAACTCAACTCACCAAGTTACTCTTTCATCATCGCGAAAAATATTGTGATCGTGATGTGATTGATTGTGCATACTACTATGACACAAGGCAAATGGTAAACAAAAATCAGCTGTTTAAAGATACAATACAAAAAAAGTTAAGTTTTTGACGTTTTTGTTGATATCGATCACTGAGCTAAAATTATAACTGGAGGTAGCACTCCCATGGCAGAAGTCTGTCAAAAGCGAGTCGCTGATTTTGTTAGGTTGGTATAGCAGTAAGTTTTCTTACCATACAGTAGAACCCCTGATATCCGGCCTTGGTTTTTACGGTCCTCTGTTTATCCGGCCACTTCCAGGAAGCCAATATCAAAATGTTTTTCTCAAAGCTTACAGACGTTTAGATGCAAGCACTAGTCTTTGCGACTTGTTTGAGCTAAACTATTTATCTGTTTCTTTAATGCATTTTACTGTGTCACTAAACTCAGTTGAACTAGGCCTAACCTCTAAACAGTTGGGGCCCCGGGTTAGGAAATTAATCTTTGTATTTTTATTTCACAAAATGGATAAGAAAGTTGAGTAGAATTGTATTTACTTTTAAGGTCCTAAAAATCTTCAAGGCTGATTTAATGTAACTTTTACCTCCATCATAGTTTTTGTTACCTGAAATCTTAATACTCGTACGTTCATTCCTTTTAATTTGTACAAACATGTTAATTGTTCAAAAAATAATCCTAGAATAGACTTAAATGATACTTTTGACAGCATGTATTGATTAAATATTATTATAGGTATGAATCATTTTCATTTTCATAGTAGGTTGGTTTATCCGGCCAAATTGATATCCGGCCAGGGGCTTGGTCCCGTGGTGGCCGGATATGAGGGGTTCTACTGTAGCAATAACATGGCTTCTTATAACTAGGTTGGTATAGCAGTGAGTATTTTTGTCATACTTGAATACTTTTAATACTTTAATAATTTTCTTTGAAATGGCGACCACACAAAGTAGGTATTTTAAGCCAAGTATAATAATAGTTATAGCAATAATATGGCTTCTTATGACACCAGACTCACGCAAACATGGCGGCTGGCGACACGCATCTTTGACATTCAGTGCGGGGACAGCTCACTTACTCTACAGATCATAGACTATACGAGCTTTTTAAATAATATTGAAGGTTCACTTGCACTACAGGCTCGTATACTATACGAGCCTATCGAAAATAAAAAGTAAATGAAGAGGGTTCACTTACTCTACAAATCATTGTGCCTATGAGCCTCGTGTATTATATTTAAAAATACAGTAGGAAGGTTCGCTTACTCTACAGATCATAGTGACTATGAGCCAAGCTTACGAATTATTTGATAATTCAGGAATCGGCTCGTATAGTATACGAGCCAAAATAATGAATAATATAAATTATAGGAATAGGCTCGTATACTATACGAGCCTGCAGAAAAATATTAGATGGCTCACTTACACTACAGATCATTGACACAATGATCCGTAGAGTAAGTGAACCCTCTTCAAAATATTAGATGGCTCACTTACTCTACGGCTCATTTAGCTACTCGTTGCGCGGTTTGCGTTCGTGAAACTCTAGGCGCTATGCCCGGCTTCGACTGCTGCGACTGCCTACATAAGTGTATTGCATCACCTCAATTATTTATTAAAACGAAATAAATATGTATGCACAAGTAAATTTGTTACATTTTTGGACTGAATACTTTAAAAATGGAGGGAGCATGACTTTTATGTTTAATTAAATTAAAAGTTATAGAATAAAACATATTTTGACTATGTGATTTGATCTACTTGTATGATCCAGATACAGAGCTACAGACAAAACCTCTGGTCCGATTTAGATTAAATTTTGTATCTGGATTCATCCACGAGTCACTAATTTTTTAAGCACGGGTTGAGAAATAATGGCAAAAATTTATAAAAACAGTTCACCAGTTTAGAATATTTCTCAGTTACTGTGAGTTGCAAAAACAGTGTATACAGAAGCATTTGTGTTCACAGAAAATATAGAGGACTAGATGTATACAGAAGCATTTGTGTACACAGAAAATATAGAGGACTAGATGTATACAGAAGATATATTAAAATACAATACGCACACAACTATCAACGTTTACATATGTAAAATTAATGAATTTGTTGTATTGAGTATTTTTAACATTATGACGAAGCCTTAACAAAACATATTTTTTTTAAGGAGTTCTAGGGTGTTAAACTATATTGTATTTATCTTTTGTGGAAGATTCTGTCCACGATTTATGATTGCTAACAATTTAATACAAAGATTTAAGTCTCTGTACGTGAAGACTAAAAACACGAAACAAACTTTAAAGTGATAGAAAAGATTTAATTGCTCAGGAGCTGGCGTTTGATACCTTTTGGGAATAAATAGCCTCTACTTCAAAGGTAAGGTATACGGTGAGGTAGCCTCTGGATCACTAAATTTAAGCTAAATGGTTTAAGTTACCTGGCTTCGTCAAGTGATCCTTCTTCAGTATTATACTACTATAGTTTCGGACTTAAAAATAAGTCCATCTTCAGGTTAACAAAAACGTCAATAGGTCATCTAACCAATTTGACGTTTTCTGAAGATGGACTGATTTTCAAGTCCGAAACTATAGTAGTGTAGGCCTAATACTGAAGAAGGATCACTTGACGAAGCAAGGTAACTTAAACCATTTAGCTTAAAGGTATACAAGTTGGTTTCACACCAACATTTCATGCACATATAAAATTTATATAATTAATACGCGAACACGAAGTTTGTCGGTTGAATCCTCCACCATTTCTTAACCGATTTTATCCACTGACGTCTCATTGGAAAGAGCGTGTTGCGTAGATTTGCAAACTGGCCTACAATTTTTGAAAAAGTCCCTTGGCCTCTGCCACAGTGGCTTTTTAAGTTCACATGTTATCCTTACGAAGAACATAATATTGTTTACATCAGCTGTTTAATTTAATTGTGTTCTTTGTTTTTCAATTCAACGAAACACATTGGTTACATTAACTGATTTTGTGGAAATTAAATATCTATCTATCTATATATTAATTACGAAAGCCGATTCTTTGCGTCAAAATTGTGGGCGACTGGGTAGTCGTAGAACGACGAAAGAGGGTTCAAATTAAAGGTCTCGATCCCGTGACGGCGGGAAAAATAGTGAAATTTCCCAAATTTTAACACAAAATTAGATATAACCTTTGACTTAGTCAATAATATAATAGTACAGGTAAAATAGGGTTTTATAAACAACAAAATTTGTACATTCATGAAATTTCACCTGTGAGTTACTAATAATATGAGAAATGAAGATCCGATGAGTCCCCAAAATTTTGGGCGTCCTAAGGCCCTTTTTGGGGCCCTTTTTGTTCCGAAGGGCCCTTGTTCCTGAATAATTTTGTTTTTACGTTTAAGGACGAGTGAGGTGTGGTTTTCGATGGTTTTAGTCATTTTAAATCGATTGGGACTAGTTTTAAGTGTATTAAACCACTCCATACAGAGTTTTTTTCGAAATATTATTACTTTTTACTATATTTAAACATTTATTCATAAAGTAATAAAATTAGTTACCTCCATGCTCTATATAAAAGAGGATTATTGAAAATAAATGTAATTCTTTACTACGTAAGGGGAAAGGATCACAAGGAGTATGAGAAAATATTAAATACCCCCGTCACAGCAAACCTGCAGACCTAGCAAATTTCCGTTTTACTTACTTGATTTTCAATTAAATCTAAAATAGCATTGCGTTTAACGATTACCTAGGTTTGCTGCTACAAGGAGACTAATAAAGTGTGTTTATAGTAAAATATTAATAGCCTAGTATAAAACAAATAATTTTGACAAGTTTGATCAAAGTATATCTATTACAAACAAACAAAATCATTTTACACTATTCTCCTTAAGAATAACATGGGAGTTTTAAATTTACAATTTTAGTATTTTTATCCGTAACTAATAACCATACAAAAACACGTTAATATACTAAATTATTTGTTTTTAAGCTATTTAAAATGTTCTAGAGAAAAATTGGGAAACTTTGTGTTTTGAGGGTAAAGTAAATAAGAAAACCCAATTTTTACTCCATAAACCTCGTTCCCATTGTTCAGGACAAAAATGCTTGTACCGACAATGCTGCTCTAATGTCTTAGTGCTGTCCTGGTAGTCATAACCACGAAAGATAACCGTACTTGTATTGATTGAAAATAAGTTTGAGGAACTTATGATACAAGTTGCAAACGTCAGTATGTATGAAAGGTGTTTTTGCACCAAATTGTTCGTGCTTTAAGATTGGTGTTGCCTGTTCTGCAATATGCAAGGTTTTAGGTTTGTAAAGGGGAATCCTGCTTGAACACCAACTTGGAAAAAATCAGTAAATATGGACAAGTTGCTAAGAATAATAAAATTGTTAATGAGTCGTTTGAGAATAATTATTGAGATGATAAAATTGTAAAGAGAGATACTTCGGAAATTGTAGAAAAATAGGTTTAGTTTAAGTACTTCATTTTAATATGTAATGTTAGGTTTTATACAAATACAATTGTTTTAATTTTTAATAAATGTAAAAAAATAACTTAAATAGCTACCTAAGAAAAATACATATCAATTTGAAATTGGTCTTAATAAATTTGCATAAAAACACGTTGAAAGATTATTCACACCACCTTAAAAGTTGATTTGTTTGCTTGGTAACCTATGTTATCATGTTATAGTGTGAAACTTCATCCATCCCCTTTTAGCGAACATCCCAAATAGGAGATAAGCTATTACTGATGGTAAAACATAGACCCGAAACCGATTTACGTTTTCATTTCGATGCCCCCAGAAGCCTAACCCCCACCATCCACTCAAAATATTATATATTCACATATATAATATAATGTATCCATGTTATATACGTGTCCGTAAACATGATAACTCGAGTAATTTTGGTTTAATTTTAACGAAACCGGCATAATCGGTCTATGGAACAGGGTTTTATGTGGTAAAAATTTGTAATCGTTGACCCTCAAAAGACAAAGTTTCCCAATTTTTCTCTAGAGCA